ATCTTGTTACACCGCAGTACTCCCAGGAGCAGTACCCCTGGTCCGCGCCCTTTCGGTTACAGCATACGATGCCACTATAGATTAAGTTGACATATCCGGAAGGGATATACAAGGAGTAGTTTTCAAATTTTTCGTCACCGGTAGGATTTGAACCTAGACCTTGCTACTTGGGGGTGACAACTCTACCACTTCACTATGTCGCCACACCCTATGTTACCTAATTATTGTAATTTACTATAATCTTATAAACATATCATATGATATTTTTTGTACTGCGATGTTTTAATATTTAATTTATAAAATTTTAATTGCAGTATATTTACAAATTTTTTTTTTTTTTTTAAAGTTGGTCTTGCTACTATACTTTTATTATGATAAATAGAATGTATATATATTACATGTTTTTGTTCTATTTGTAGATTATACTACCTTATTAATTAAAGCATGATTCACTCGGTTTCCAATTGGACCTATGTGCGACCATACTTGTGTATTAAACCTTTTTGGGTCTCTATAGCCAGACCATCTAACCACAAATTCCCAATTCACCAGCCCAGGTTCCACTATCTATATTTTATTCATATATATTCTGCATATATATTACTGTACAAATCCTACCAATTACTTCTATCTTTCCTATATATAGCATTACTCCCAAACTGCTTCTTGTATTACTTCCAAATTGGTGTCTGTGAGGTAGGCATTATTGGTACTTCTAGTTTGGTGTCCCAGAAGACAATTTGTAAATATGTCATAGACATCCTGGGTCTCTTCAGTATATTCACAAATTAATTATTTAATAATCGTAATGATATATAGAAAGTATGCGAAATTTTATTTATTTTATTTATTTTTATATATTTATTATTTTGGTTTATTTTTTTTTTTCTTGCAAACCGAAAATTTACAGATTGAGGCACTTAAGAATACCCAAAGTTAGTTAGTTCTAATTGACTTTGTGAATATTTAATAATGAGACTTTATTTTAGTTATAGAATATGTAGGTCATATTTGTTAAATTTATTTCCACTAAGTATATAGAGGTCTAATTAGCCAAGATAACTCAAAATTTTAGTCATATAGCATAATTTCATAGTTTCAAAGTGGCAAATTTCATATAACTCAAACTTGTAAGCTTACTCAGATTATATAGTAATACAATAAATAAAAGTTATAACTCATCTCACGTAATCTGATATTTTGGAAGTTACTCTAATCAATTTGCATAAAAATTTCCATAAAGAATTTTTTTACAATAGTAAAATTTTTTTTACCTATTTTTAGTGAGCAAATTTGCCCACTAAAAATTATACTGTATAATAGTGCTTTTATAGATTGTGCTTTTTCTTCTTCTTTTATTTGTTTTTATTATTTGTTTTCTTGTTGCTTAAATAGTTTTTTTCTTCTCTCTTTTATGCTATTTCGTTATATTTTTTTTAGTATTAGTTTTTTTTTATAAGTCAGTTGAAGGCTATGAATCCTTCTGCTTAGAAGACTAGAAGAAGAAGATTAGAAAAGAAGGTGATCTTGATAGGCTATAAATACTATTCAGTGATGTATCAAATTATTTAGTTGCAGGTTTTTTGGTATGGAGATAAACTTTACTATAGCAGATCAAACATGAGTAATTTGAACATTTTAGTGTTGCAAAGAGCCAGGTTAACTAATACTTGTAATTTAAGTGGGCTTGAGGTAACTTGAGTTAAAAATCATATTTTCCCTGTGAGTTAAATATTGTACTCTAATAAAGTATTGGCAAGATTGCCAAATTTATAAAAAAAAAAAAAAACTATTTATAAAAAAATTACAGTATAACAAGTTAAAATTGTAAAAGTTTTATAATTATTAAATGTAAAATTTGGCCACCTTTTATATATATATAAAAAAAACAAATTTGGCCTTCTAAACAATTAATTTAATTTTTTATATATTAAAAATTTAAATTTAGCTACAGTATTTTATACAGTAGTATACTATAAAAATTAGCTAAATTTTAAATTGGTCTCTTTATATACTGTATATAAAAATTAAAACCCGAATTTGGCCTCTATTTGCTATGACTAGATTGTCTACACTGTAGCTTCATTTTTAAATATAACTATGTATAATTGTACAGTATAACAGATTAAGTTTTTTATAGATAACTCCTATTTAGCACAAAGGATATGATGGATACATTGATAAGCGTTTATTAGTCACATACATGATTTATCACACTCTTGTGCCAAATAGGTTATCTTAATTCTTGTATAACCATAATGATTTTAAATATTATATACCGCACTTTAAAATATTATACGTATCTGACAAATTCATGCGGACGAAAATTTTTAAAATTAAGTGATAAACATAATGATTTATATAATACGTAATAGTTTATAAATATTATGCGATTATGATCAGTTTCATAAGCAGTTTATAGCTAAGAAAAAGCAATTGACCATCAAATGCATAATGATTCATAAGAATTATGCAGTTTTATAAACGGTTTCATAAGCGATTCATAAGCAATTTATAACCAAGGCAAACGATTGACCAATCAAATACAATCAAATACAATCGTACGATTCAATTTACAATATTAATATATCACATAAATCATTTAAATGATTTTATAAATTTTTATAAAAATATTATCATCGAATTTTTAATAGTCACCAAATCAAAAAATTCCGCCCGTATGTTTTTCGAATTTTTTTTTGTAATTTTGAAAATGAAACTTCTGTTCGAAAAAATTTAAACTCAGATACGTAGCTTTTTTAGGAGTATACTAGGGAGGTTTAAATTTTCTCCACGCTGTTCGGTCCCTATCTAAATTACTCAAACTCCTATTGGAATATGTTACAGAAAAATAGCTTTCTACAACTTTATTTATTGGACGAATATTATGCAAATTTTTTTACAAATCTTGCTCAAAGTCAGTTGACAATTACGGCGGGACCGATTAGCATCCCGATGAATGTAATTTACGTTTTGGGTAGATTCATAAAAAATCAGCCAATCAGACGATGAAATCTAATACGCCTGATCTTGTCCTCTGATTAGCCGAATCAGAAACCTGGGAAATTAATAAATGCATTCTGATAATCAGTAAGTAATTAGTCAGCTTTGACAACTCTGCTGGGCAATGGAGACAATTAAATCTCTTGTTGAGGAATGGCTTCGCCTAGATAAGGTTTTGTTTATTTTTAACGTTAACACTACACCAAATCGTTAAATTACATTGTTTAATAGTTTCTAATATTACTGTTCTACATTCAAAGAATCCTATAACACGCTTAGAAATAGAAAAGCTTTATGCCGAAGGAAATGTTGAGGAACTAGAAAAACGCCTTCGCACGAGGATATCATTTGGTACTGCTGGTAAGGTTTTTTATTCATATATGTCAAATTTAATCAATTTCTATTTTTGGTTCTTAACATTAACAAATAATACAACTTTAAACAGGATTGCGATCTAGTATGGAAGCAGGATTCTCGAGGATGAATGATCTCACTGTAATTCAAGCTTCACAGGTATTAGTATTATTAATTTCCTGGGAGCTTAAAAATTACGACAGAGATTCTCGATGAACATAGGATACAGATGACCCGAAGGGCCGTCTGCATCATATGTTCATCGGAATCTCTGTTGTAATTTTTAACTCTTCACAGGAAATTCATGAATAATACCCTGCCTTACGTTGTTCATGCCTACCTTTATTATGATTTTTCGTGTGATTATTTGTGACCGGGAATCTTCCCATGGAAGATTCCCGGTCATGATATGATCTCGTGGGAAATTATAATGAAGGTAGGCATGAACAACAAATAGTAAGGCAGGGTATTATCATTACTTAATTTTTATATAATCTTCTATTTAATGTTAATATTATTTATTTGAATCTATTTCAGGGACTTTGCATGTACCTTCTTGATACTATACCAAATGCAATTGTCAAGGGTGTTGTGATTGGGCATGATCATAGACACAATTCAGAAACATTTGCAAGATTAAGTGCAGCTGTATTTTTATCAAAAGGGTTTAAAGTTTATTTTTATCGTGAGTTGGTTCACACTCCACTGGTGGTAGGTTTCTTGTTTATTTAATTTGTTAAAGATTAATTTAAATATTTGCTTATTAACAGTTATTATTTTAGCCTTATGGTGTCAAAAAATTGAAAGCTGCCTGTGGGATCATGATTACTGCTTCACACGTTAGTATCTACTTATTCATTCTTTTAAATACGTATATGTTATTCTAATTATTCTAATGAAAATATACTTTAAATTTATTAGAATCCCAAGCAAGATAATGGTTATAAAGTGTAGGTATTTATTAAGTTATATAAAGAACTTTATATTTTAAAAAAGGTTTTTTTATTCATTTACGTACAATTTATTTAACACAAGATATTGGGGAAATGCATGCCAGGTATTGTAATGATCATTTTATATCGGCGGATCTACGTAATTACTATTAAACACTTTAAAATATTTGACAAAGAATAACTTTAGACCCACTTGTTCATTTTAGATGATTTTATCACCAAAATGACCGTCTCAGTGAAACAATTCTAAAGTAGTGATACAAATCGAAAGTTAAAAAATCGATTAGTTGAACAAGTTGACAACTAATCGATTTTATTTTTTAAAACCAACTTAATCGATTAATCCATTAGTTGTCCAATCAGTTACTTGATTAGTTGCAATTAATCGATTAATCAACTAATCGAATAATCGATTATTAGATTAGTTGCCCAATCAATTAATCGATTAGTTGACTATCGATTAGTCGATTAGTTGTTCAATTTATTAATTAATTAATTGTTTAATTAATCAATTAATTGCAACTAATCGATTGGTCGATTGGGCAACTAATCAACTAATCGATTAATCAACTAGTTGATTAATCGATTACCGTATAACCGCAAAATAACGCACCCCTGCGCGTTATTTTGGGACGCGCATGTGCGGTATTTCGAATTAAAAGATTGATTTCCTGAATAAATATTTTATATTAAATTGATTTTTCCTGTGACTTACTCGGATGCGCGTTATTACGGGACGCGCATGTGCGTTATTTCGAATCAAATATGGTATTTTTTTAGGGGCCAAATTTCGAAATAACGCTCGTGTGCGTTATTTCGCGGTTATACGGTAATTGCAACTAATCGATTGAAAAATTTTAACAATTTGTAACACTATTCTAAAGAGCCCAAAATCATCAAAATCCAATCACTGAATCCTGAGATCGCTAATGTTTTGTTTATATCAGGTAAAATAGGATGGGTTTGACCCATCCTATTTTACCTGATGTAAACAAACTGGCAATTTTCTCGGGATTCAGTGATCAGATTTTGATTATTTTGGACTTTTTAGAACCTTCTCACTGTTTGAACAGAGGGGAAACGTTGATACGTCACAAAATCGTTACACAATTGATAAAAATTTTTTTTATATTATTTTACAATACTTTTTTGGAAGGC